TTTTTTTTTTTTTTTTAATATTATTCAATTAGTAGTTAAGGAAACAATGTCCATACATATATATGCATTTACACATGTATACATTTATACATACATATACATATATATAAATTAATAACATTTTTTTGTTCTAATAGTACCTATTACATTTTTGTGTAATAATAATGATTAATTAAGTAAACTTAAACTTAGATTAAAGCAATTTTTGTGTTTTTTTTTTTTTTTTTACAAATTAAATTCTTATGTACATGCTACAATCATGATTCAATTTATCTTAGATTTAGATTTAAACATTTTTGTTTTTTAATAAATAATATTTGTATAATTTTATAATTACTTTTTTTGCATCACAATAATTATTAACTTATGTAATATTAAAATTAAAAACATTTTTTTTTTAAATAATCTTATATAACTACAATAAACTTAAATTATACTTAAATTATGAACAATTATTTTATAATAGTGATAAACTAAGATTATGCTTAAATCATAGAATTTTTTTTTTTGTAAAATTTTTTGTAACAGTAATAATAGTAATTTAACTTATGAAGAATCATTTTTTTTGTGTTGTTATAATATTAATTAACTTAATTTTTACTTAAATTGTTAGCAATTTTTAAAATGTATGTATTATGATAATAATGAAGAATTTTTTATAATATAATATAGATAAACTAAAATTATACTATAATACTATTATTATACTATTATGTTTATAATTTAACTAAAATTATACTTAAATTATAAACATTTTTTTTTTACATTTTTTTACAATAATAATACTTAACTTAACTTATGAAAATTTTTTTATATAATAATATTGATTGAATTCAACTTATATTAGTGCAGATATACAAAATTAATTAATTTCAATTATATGTTATCAAATTCAGACCAACATTTGTAATAGAATAAAAAAATCCAAATTTTTTGTTATAATAGCTGATGAAACTACAGATGTTAGTAGAGTTGAACAGTTTTCTCTTTGTATAAAATACCTTGATGCTGATGTTATTAAACTAAGAAAGGATTGTTTACAATTTGTACCAGTACACAATACTACTGGAAAAGAGCTATCTAAGAAAATCATAAATACTTTGAGTGCTTTATGATTAAATTTATTAAATATTAACATCATCATTAGTTAACTTTTTTCGCATAACTATGGTACATTTCATTTGTTCCCGGTCCAATTCTATAAAAAATGCTAAGAAAGAAAAATCGAAACATCATAGAAAGACTGCAATGTTAATTTAAGCACCTATAATCATTATATATTATTTTATTATTTTCATATTGTAATGCGTTTTATTTGTTATTTAATATTTGTATATAATTAATTATACACTGAAATAAAAAAAGTTACTATTATAAAATTTTGTTTTTGTTTGATATAATAAAAATAAATTAATAAATCAAATTTTACCTTAATTACAAAATATAATTATCACTTATTACATTTTTAGAGATTTATAATAATAAAAGCTAAATATTAATTTACATTTATGGAATAATATTATGTTTAATGTTATGCAGCCATTATTAGTCATTACTAACAAAGGTATTTACAGACTGAATAAAATAGAGCTTTTTTATTTAGTTCTAGATATTAAGTATTTTTGGAACATAAATATGCTTTTTTTTAATTAAATTGTTCCTACATTTTTAAAATACTGGTTTGGAAATTAATAAAATTATACCTAATTAACAATTTTTGATTTTAAAAAATAATTATAAGTTAGTATTGTTTTTCTTCTCTGTAGTTTGAACCATAAATTAAAAATTATCAACTATAATATCAATCATAATTATTGTAACCAAGTTATCCAATTAATATAATAATATATTATAATTCTTTAAAATAATTAAAAATATATAACAATTTTATCAAAATATCATCTATTAATGTACATTTTTATTGTTTTTGTTAAAAATAATCTGCTCTTTAAATTATATTCTATAATATTTGATCATAAATTTTATAATTTAGAATAAAATTACTAAAAACCACAAAAATGTCTATACTACTAATGTTACAAGATTATGACTAGTGTTCTGCAGCGCGCTCTAGCGGATGCTAAAAATCTGGGCCCACTTTTATCAGTATAGATCGGTGTCCTTACTCCAATGTTCATGATCTGAGCATACAATAAGCGTCGATAACACGCGCATTATTAATTATCACATGTCACAGATATATAAAATAAACTTATTATATCTGTGAATTACGTCTTGCTAGCCGCCAAGATGCTACTGCTATAGCTGCTGCTGCTATTTTTTATATTGTATTGAGTGTTTTAACTTCTAATATAATAGCAACTATAAAACCGTGTAGAAAACTAGTAAAACATAAAAACCAAATTTCAAAATTTAGCAATCACTGTAATTGTTGACACTGAATAGTAGTGCTATTATAACTGCTACTGCTATTTCTTACCATCACTAATTGAAACATTATTTTAATTGTTTATTGTGGCCCATGAGCATCGAAGCAGTGATATTAGTTGAAATTTAAATGTAAGTGTGAATGCATTTTTTTTATTCTCAAAACGTGCCTCAAATATAACTTATTTCAAGCCAAATAAATTAAGCAATCAACATATTTATTTGTAATCGTTTTTCTTCTTTACCTTGATATTTTAATATCAATTATTTTCTGAGTAAATTATTAATATATCTTTACGTATCCGTATCCGTAATCCGTAAATGGTTAAAAGTTAAAAGATATTTTGTTGAAAAAAAGTTAGAATCCATATCAGGTATTCCAATAAATCTACAGTGTAGTGATCGTTGTGCAGGACACTACGATCGGTACCACATTAATTATTTAATGACGTAGCACGTTGTATGTTATCTTGAGACGTTTGGTTGATAGAGATAGGTAGGTGAATAATTAAACACTGATTTACTAAACTTATAAACTTACTGTTTTTATTAATTTATCACAATAAATTAACAAATAGTTAAAAACACAAAAAATTAAAATAACAAGTTATTTTGGGCTAAGAATTATATACTCGCGGCGATGTGGCTGTAACAAAGTCCACGACGAACAATAATTTATTAATACGGGAAATGGCCAGTATAACAATGTCTATTAGAATTACCTATCTACATCTGAATAATACTAAATGCTCAACCCGTATTTATACGGGTTCCAATGACGTAAAAGTGGCCTGTTTCTAATATTACTTTATTTTACTGTCGATTTAGCATTATTATGTTAAGACGTGAAAACTACTTGTTGTTTTCACCTTTGCTCTGGATTTCCTGCGAGTAGGCATAGTTATTAATATGTATAATAAATTATACTGATTATTAAATATGCTTAGCCTTGGGCTTACTACAACTGCAATGATGATGTTACAATCATCAAATAATTATTTTTGATGTATTGTTTATTCTATTGTTTATGAAAAATGCATGCTCACACATTATCCATAATAAGTTTTTTATTTATATTTATTGTAAAAGTGAAATTGCAGACTAAATAACACTTATTAAAAATAATGTATTTCTATTTACTAATCGTCGTTTAACAATAAGCATACACCTTGTAGAATCCAAAAACTATTATGAACACTAGTTTTTAAATCAGCTTCAAATACTAATCCGACACCCATTGCATTTCTTCGCTGTGATGTAGTGTACACTGGAGTGCGAACGGTATTCTAAAAATATAATGTTGAAAAACGTTTAATTAGTTAGTGTTTAAGAAAAATTGTTTATAACTTTAGTATAATTACAAGTAATTTTAGTTTGCTAGTTTCAATCGGTACAATCAAAACGATTGGAAGGTTTTCAATCAATACTTTTGTTGTCGAACTAGTTAAACATTGTTTTCCCAAGTCCCAGCGTGCTCCTTCAATAAATATTCCACTTATATAACAACCCTGAAATGTTTTTTTATGATGCATTATTAGTGAGTACATTATATATGTATCGTTGTGTGATTAAATACATTTTGAATGCATTCATGGATACAGCGATGGTACACCATTTAATGTGATTTAATTTCCTAAGTTAAATACATATATAATATGTTTTTTTACAACAATATTAATTATATAGTAAATTATTATGATAATTTAAATATATAATATATGTAAAATGAAATCTCACCGTTTTTGGTATACTGTCTATTTCATTTTCATTGGTGTATTGAGTCACAGTTGTATATAGAGTAGAATGATCTAATGACCAACCATATTGCCTACATGCCATTTGTACGATAGCCGTCAAATATGATTCAGGTACATGAAGACCAGCTAGCCATATAACTGTAGGTTCCCCATCACTACTCTATACACAAAATTTAAAAAACATTATTAAACAATTTTTATTTAATTATTATTTTTGGCTATAAAAGATAATTAATCATTATTATACCCACTCAATGTATTGGTTAGTTCTTGCTACAAAATGTTCAATCCACCCACCTAGATTTTTACACGTTTGTGGTGCTAGTTTGATCCAAGAATTTGGTATTTGACCGTTGTATAGTGATACCGATACGCTTTCTAAAATAGAGTCCATTCCAATTTCGCCTAATAAAGCCTGTTAGATTTTTACTAATGAATATCTATGTTTTCTTATTATCAATTATATTGCTTAGCTAACTTTTCGAAGCATTGTCAATGTAACGTTAATTTTGTCAACCAGTAAATTAAACCTTTCTAATTCTTGCAGTAAAACAACAGTACTGGGTGATAACTTATTTCCATAAAATTTTTTGATATCACTGATGGCGAATAGATCGGGTAGTTTTTTTAATATATCTTCGGCAACAGAATCTATTAATTCTTCACGACTCATCCCAGAACTAGATGATTCTTAACAAAACATGTTATTTGTTTACGTTTAATTACATTAATTATCCCATGAAATGTTCGTTGACTTACCAGTTTGTGGTTGTAATTTTAGAAGATTATTCCATATATCTCTTGAGGCTTTTGTAAAATATCCCATCTCAGCATTCATATGTAAACCAAGTACTTCAGGTCCACTGGTTGAAGGTAGCTCCTCGATCGCGTCTATGGTTATTTCAATTTTAAAATAAATGAATCGTGAATAAATATTATTATTACTTAAGAATTCTTCTTTTGTATCAACTGCTATTAATTTATATTGAACTTTGTCATCGTGGTACAAATAAAATGTTTGAAATATATCAACTATAAATTCTCCAAAGTATTGTTTCATGAACGTGTTTACAATTCTTTGGTCATAATCATCAATAACACGCCCGCCGTACATGACATTTCCAATTAAATACCTCAAAGTAACCCACGGTAGTGGAGCTTCAATGCCATCAGTTAAAGTTTTATTTAGATAGTTGATAAGAATTTGTACACTAACTGTGAAATCTGATTCACTAAAATCGTAAGGAATATTCCAACCAATTTTATCGTATTTTCTTCTTTCCTGCGATGAATATTTCTTAATATAAATACTATTGAAGCTAAATTATAATATAACGTTTATTTACTTGAACAACAGCGTGAAAAAATGCAAGAACATATATTAAAGACGTATATGATGGGTGTGTACATTTTTCTAAAGTTTCTTGTTTTAATTTAATAAAAGTATTTTGAATATTTGCTTTAAGTCCGTTCGGCGGCTCAGTAACAACTTAAAATGTATAGTACAATAAAAATTAATTAATTAAAGTACTATATGACATAAATATAATTTACCTTTTAAAGATCTTTGTAAAACAGACACAGGAAATGATGGAGTAGCTTCAGTGGCTAACCATAATCTAAAATCTGGATGGATTTTAGTTGATCTATCTAATATTTTTTCAAGATCGTATAGAAAAGATATTAATAAATGACAATTTTGAAACATTATCCAGTAACCATTCGTCATTGCTAAACTTAATAATTTTTGTGCCACCTTAAACATTAAGTATTGTGTCCTGACTGCTGGTACACTATTTATAAATAGTAATAAATATTAAATGATTACTTGCTCTTGTCCTTGCCCTAGCGATAGAAAGTGAAACATATTTGACGATAATCCACATCGATTCGCTAGTTTTTCTAAATCTACGGTTGGATCAGATCCTGGGCTTAGTATAAACAATCCTGGGATTGTGGGTTTGGTTTGTGTGTATATAACACCAAAATCAACAATTGGTGTTGTTATGTACACATTACCCATCACTAAATCTATATAATTGTAAATAGCTTGATATGTTCGATCCACTCGAAAACATCGTAGTAACATAAGTTTATGAAAGGATTCAAAATTTCCTGAAAATTTAAAAGGTGGATCTGAAGACTCTGGCATATCTAGATCATACCAATTCTTCCAATCATTAGTATTGTTTTTGATATGATCGTCCAAATTCAAGAATATTTCTGGAAAGTCATTAGATAACTTGACAATATCTTTCCAATTTTGAGGTGTTAACCAGCCAATAGGATTGATGTATTCTACATTTTTATCTAACGTAACATTTCCTTTGATGAAAAATTCAAGTTCAGGTATTGTCACTTTCTTTATACTCATTTGAAGTTTCACAGTGATTTGAAAGGAAAATAAAAGTTTATGTCTTTCGAATATACCTAAATTTAAATATGTAATATCGAAAATTTATTTATATAGGTATGATATAATTTATTTTTAATTTTGATTTTTTTTTACCTGTACATCCATACTTATAAAAATGTTCAGTAAATGTATCAATAATATTTATAATTCTTCTTTTTAGTATCTTGCTAGGCATTGCTTTTTTTAATGATGCCCAGAACACTTGTTGATAATTAGAAAGCGAATTTTGATACATTGCATCAACTGTACTCATATCCGCTAACACAAAAAATAATATAGCCCCTCTAGTGGCTGCTGGACGGAATTGATTTCGAAGTACATCGATTTCTATAGAAGTTTTAGTAGCCAAGTATAATTTTTGCATAACTTCAGTTGCTTTTATTTTAGTCTCCTCTAATGTTTCAACAAGATCAACATTGTCCAATATGTTTCCTGTGGACATGGCTAGCTCACGAAGGAGTGAGTCTTCTAGATTTCTTAGTAATTTTTTATTAGAGCTGATCTCCATTACTAACGATTCACTTTGTTCCTCCAAATCAGACCTTTCATTTTTAACCACCACACACAATAGTTGGTCTTCAAGTCCCTAAACAAAATGTATTTAGTGAAAACTATTTTATATTAAATTAGAACTGTATAAATTACATTTTGTGTAATTAAGCAATTAATAACTGTTGCTTTCGTGTATATGGATGGAGAAAAAGACGGATTCGCTAGTTTGGTTGTAAGATAAACACAAAATTTGCTATCATAATCCACTTCTTTATCGCCCAACATCACAAACTTTCGACCAGAAACAGCTAAATAAGTGTATATCCATTTAATATAGGTAACGTTTTAAATTAATACTTTTAAAACAGTTCGCGATAATTGTTTACTTTTTATATTTTTCTCAAGAATATTTTCAACTATCGGATCAATGTACTCTACATCTTGAAACAGTATAGGTTGGCCATATATTATGGCATTTTCAACATATTTTAAATAATCGGAATCGCTGAACGATAGTACCATTAAATTATTTGGTGCTTCTTTTTGTTTAATCCAGTTCAATGCCTTAATAATATTTTCTAATTTAAAACTCAATCTATTTTTTTGTAATAATTTTTAAATACATATTTATATATGTATATTATATGATGGTAATATTACTTGTTGTTGTGGGTCAATGCACAATGGAAATCTACTAGCTTTCGTAGAAAGAATACCATTTTGAATTGACAGATCATCAGACGGCAATCCTTCTGAGTTCCATCTAATACAATGTTATAAAAAAAATTATTTTTAAAGAATGACATGATTATTTATATTAGGTATTATATATTATGCATATATTTACGTTGCAATAGTGACTTCATCAGAAAGTTCAACTTCAATTTTAAATGGATTGCTTATTGGTAATTCAGATTCTATTATTTTTTTATTCCAACACTCAAATAACATATCAATTCGAAATTCATAAGAAAACGGTGCTGTATATGCTAAAAAGGATGAACACATCAAACAGTTTCCTATTATTTTTTCCATGCTTTGTTTTAAATGAGCTAAATCATTTTTCCATCTTTGATTTTCTGAACTTAAACCGTTGATTAATTTATCAGCTGCAATAAATCTTCGTTCCATGAGATCTTTTTCTTCTTGAATAATTGCTTGTTCAAGCATTGCATTTTTGTATTTTTCATTCAATTTTTCTAGCATAGACATGATATTATTCAATTCAGTGTTGAGTTTATTTAACATATTGGTCACCTAAATAATAACAGAAAAAAAATAATTGGATATAAGCAGGGATATATTGGTACGTATACGTGGGCATACGCCGTACACTCGTCAGCAGATTTTAGATTTTCGGCGTATGCCTATTTTAAAATATTTCTTTACGAGTATACGCTCCTAAAATAATTTGAAAACCAAACAATACCCATTTAATAGTTCATTTGAAAAAAAATGTTAGGAATTATCAAGTTTGAATGAAATATTTATCTGTTGAAGATTACAGTGTACGCTATGTTGTATTGTACGCTGTGTCCAGGGGCAGATCTAAGATTTTTATATGGTGGGTGCTAGTTTGCATATAATGATCATTATAAGGTACTTATTAGTTAATACTCGTAGTTATGATGAAAAATAAAATATTAAGCTTAAGCAGCTAAAAAAATCGGTCTTGCAATGTGCATTTGTTTTGGATATTACATAAACGGTACCTGGACATTTCCCCCACCCGGGAATCTTCATGGTACTGGACGTTTCCCTCCCTCCCAGACTGAGATGTTTCCTCTCCCGATTCAATATAAATTTTTTATCACTGCCCAAACATAATACAATTTTTATTTAAATTTTCGATTATATTTAAATATTAATTTAACAATTTGTGCATTTATTTATTTGCATTGTATATTATTATTGTTTAATATTTATTTTTTTTTGTTCGGGGGGAAATTATCCCATTCAGGGGGGAAACATCCTGGATTATACATAAATAATTTGAAATATAATTATTAATTAAGATATATAATGGCATTAAAACATTATATAATCATTTTATTATTTTTTTAAATGTGTAGATTCTAGGTACATAATACAATGTATGAATTTTAAAATTTGTTCAAATTTATAATTAAGACTGACCAGTCCTCTAAATTTTCAATAATTAATAATATGAGGAACGATGGGTGCTTCAGCACCCTAAGCAACCCCCCTAAATCCGACCCTGGCTGTGTGCATTTTAAGTTAAATTAAGTAAATACATTTTGTAAAATAGATGTTATTATATATACATATGGAGTATGAACATTCAGTTTATGGTTTTTAAACCTGCATCATGCAATTTATAACGTGCGACAAATGTATAACTTTTGATGTTATATTTTATAGTTTTATTAGAAGTTATAAACATGTAAGGTTAGTAAGGGATTAATTTAATATATTCATGCATAGCGAAAAAAAAATTGTCGAGTGAAGCAAGAACATTTTTGTAGGATTAATATCCATACCTACTTTATTAGTGTGTATACCCATAATATATGTATATTTACCAATACACAATTGGATATAAGTAGGGATGCTAGATTTCAAAATTCAAAATAGGGGACAAAAAAAAAAAGGATATGTCTGCCCCCTCCTAAATAAAAAAAAACAACTTATAGCTCGATGCTTGTAGGTCGTAATGTTATAGGTAAACTATTACTATTGCATATTGTCATAACTTAATCTAAATTTAAACGAAATTGTAAGGATGGGAGGTAATAACGAAACTACTAATAACTAACAATTACGAGTAATAAATTCAACTGAACGGGCGGTGGTATTTTCGCCGTGGTTTGAATGTCTTTTATATTCATACCAAAATACTATATTTAAATGGATAGCACCACAATCGACGGTTTTATCATTCCTTGCCTTTGATCACCGCCGTCGCGACAGCTAGAGCGCTAATTAACGTAATACAATATGGTTTTGAGTGGAAAATAACGCATTGTGATAATAATTTGCCGTTTATAAAAATTAAAAATAGAAAAATAATGATAGGTAAATGATAAAATTGCCGTTTTATTATTTAAATACAAAAAAGTGGTATTATATTTTATTGTATGGGTAAATTTATGAAAAAAGGACATTTTGGTGTCCTGAAGAGAGTGTCAGGACGACGGGACATCAAATTAAAAATGGGACGTTCCCGTATTATACGGGACGTCTGGCAACCCTTATGTAAGTTATAAATAATGAATACATATTTATTAATAAGTTATAACGAACTAGTTTGAAGTCATTTTCGAGTGTTTTCACTTTTTCTTTTTTAGGTTTTACTTCTCTATACACAACACAATACTTCAGAACCGCTTCAACAAAAGATAACAATCCAAAACCTGCTTTACTTATGTCTTTCATTAAACTCATTTTTGTTGATGCCTGTTTAGTAGAAATAAAAAAAAATATAATAATAAAAACAACTGGTATTATTGAATTGTTTGTAGGTACCTTAAGTTTAGCTCGGATTTGAGATTGCTGTTTTAGAGTCAGCTCATCGACATTTAAGTTTTTTAATGAAGATAAAAACTTCGGATCAGACATCATTTGTTTGGCCACCTTCCAATTAACTTCTTTGTAACCAAGAAGTATTGCCACACATTCGGACACAACTTGCACTGGCTCTGGTGGTGTAGCGAACGACCGAATTTCCGTAATATCGCCTTTTTGTAAATTGTTTAACGCGTCTCTGGCGTCTAATAATGTTGGTAACGCCTGGTTTAATATTATTTCGGCTTCTTCTTTTTCTTCGGCTATTATTTTTCCAGCTTCTTGACTTTCAATAGTCATTTCAACAACAGTTTCTTTTTTTGATTTTGCTTTTTTTGAAGCTGCCCCAGAAATAAAAACAAACCATATAAATGACTTATACTTTATAAATATTCAAAATACAATTAGCCATTATTATTATGGAATAATCAGAATTACCTTAAGGATATAATGACTTAACCTCAAACAACATATGAATATTTTTAAGACCAGAATAATATAAAATTCAAAACGTTGCATTTATTCAACCATATGCATTTAAGGGTTAAATAAATAATACAGAGAACAGTAAAAAGACAATAACATATGCATATTAACAAATTATACGTGGCTTACATACAATGTTCGCAGATTAGATAAGTAATTTTTTATTTAAATAATAATAAAGATAGTCCAACTGAAATAAATCCAGATAAAGAGATTACAGTATTATAGAAAATGTATGTAACTCAACCACAGGTTACATATATTTAAAATTATTTTTTATATTTATTTCTAAATTATTATGAAACAATGAATAAAGAACTGGGGAAAATGAATAAAATATTTTTAAAATAAAATATTTTTATTAATAATTTTATAATTATAGCAATTATCATTTAGCAATTTTGTCATAATTATAACTAAAAATAGTTAAAATATTAATTACATATTTACTGCTAGACATTATATTAATGATTATCAATAACTCATTACGGACATGTTATTAATAATTAATATGCCAATAACTACAAGCGTCCATTCTTAAAATAGTACATTTTCAATTTTTATATATAAAAAATAATAACAACTGACAATTAAGTATTATCTTAACAAATTAACTTCAATAATAAAGTCTAGCAATAATCGTGACTGTAATCGTAAACGTAAGAGAAAATCAGTTCAGTTTAGTTCGTTTAGTTATACGTGATACATTATTCACTATAAGCATTATATGTTAGCCAAACATTTTTATTCAATTGTTCAATTGGAGGAAAATACCATAGCTTTTTTAAAGGAAAGAGGACTTATTGAAATCAACACTCCTCCTTGTGTTAACTATGGCTCGTAAACTAAATCCTATACTAGCAAAGAAAGAAGAAAAGAACGAAACAAAACTTTTAATTTTTAATACTTACCTATTGACATATAATACTGTTATTCACTAATTTACCTACATATTATAATACATTAATGCATATTTTTATATAAACATGAATGGTAGACTGCATACGACAAGAATACCGAAAAAACAATATCGTTATTTACATATTTTTGTAAATTGTTAATTCAATTATTATTATTATTATTATTAACTATTTTTAGTTTTATAACTTATAAACTTGGATTGAGAATTTAAATAACATTTTTATGAATTTGATTGCACAATTCTGGCGATCGAAATTTATCTCGATGAATTAATCTAGATTAATAAAATATTAATAACAATTTAGATATCTCGTAAATATTTATCAAGATAGGATAAAATATAAATAAATAAATATCTAGATAAGTCCGAACACTGCTTACATTTAATTCTTTATAATCACATTATGATTACTACAGAGTAATGCATATTATACGTCACAAAATATAAGTATAACTGCATATATCTGTTTTAAAATTTAAATAAGTTTAATATAATAAACCTTCAGAAATTTCCTGTAAAATATTTTTACATGCCACCGTTTTTTCGGCTACAACAACTTTTTGTACTTCTAATTGTTTATTAAGTATAATTAATTGTGCAGTAGCTTCTTCAATTTTTCGTAAACCAACTAACAGTCGATCACACTATATAATACGAAATATATAACACGAATAAGTAGTTGAAAATGTAAATAAAAAATATAGTTTAAAATTGAATTCGAATTTATACTATTACCTGTTGTGTAATGCTATTTGATTTTTCATTTATTAAATTCAAATATGAATTTATGTAGTCACAATAATGAGTAGGAGTGAGATAATTTCTTCGTTTCAGTTTGACATAAAAATCATTTATATAATCATATAACGATTGATGTGTATAAACCATAACATTAATAACGATTTCTTTATAATTTTCTGGTATTTTCGTTGCCTAAGATGAAATATTTAGAGATAATGTGCATATTTTATTTTATATGAAATATGTATTAATTATAAAAAAATATTGTTTACCTCATCTATAAACGTTTTGGCCACAGCGTATAATGCTTGTTCTGGCCACGGGAAAATCCAATTAATATATGTTTTATTTATCAAACCTGGGAAATTGCGACATCGTGTTCTGAGTTCATCTCCGGGTAACATGGATAGAATCACATGAAGATTATTTACACATGTTCTTAAAAAATATGTCCAACAAGAATCACTAACAAGGAAAAAGTCATCAATAGTTATTATTTTATTTATTTTATTTAAAATTGATTTACTTAGAATTTTCATAACCAGCGTTAATAGCATCTTTTTTCACGTCATTTGTTATACCGGTCTTTTCTTCATTTGTAAACAAAGCTGGTACCATTCCAACCATAAGTATATTGTTAATAATTTCCAAAAAACCTTATAATTATATTCAAACGTACAGGTATAATTAATTTCTATAAATCTAAAATTTATATTTTAGTACGGATGAAGCTATACATACTTTCTTCAGAAGTTTGAGATTGCGTTATGAAAAAAACTGTAAGTTTATTTTCCACGCCTAACATTAGGAACAACTTTTTTAAATCTTCTCTAAATGCCAGTTCATTGTATCCTTTACTTAAAACGATCGAAAATATTTCACAACCTATAAAAATGTGAACATTTATTTCAAATATTTCGTTTTCTGTAAAATAATCATTAGTTTAAAATTATATACCTGCAGTAAATGCTGCGAGTTTAGTCATCAATGCTTTACCACTTCCACCTACCCCTATAAGCATTATGTGTCCTGAATTCATTTTCAATACTCTGTGAATTCTAGTTAAATGTTCCAACGCCATATTAAACAACACCATGTCAACTTTTTCGTTTCTTTCGTTATACTCCATCAAAATCTAATTTGATAAATATATCAGTATTAAAACGGTATATTAATTTCTGATGATTTAATCTTACGTCTTCAAATATTTTCTTTACAACATCATACGTTTTATAATCTTCGTACAATCGAATCTCATCGTCATCATTTAAAGCATTTTTAAAGTCACCAAAGATTAATGGGTTTATTAATACTTCATCCTTTTCGTTTGGAAAATACTCTTCTAATATTTCTGATATTCGTAATGCCATTAACTCTTCGTCCTTTTAATGACCAAACACAATTAAAACTTACAAATCATAATACTTTATAACATATTGCTGCATAACTTACTTTTTCGCTGTTAAACCTGTCGCATATTACACGAGTGAATTCATTTCTCCATACCCTAATAAAACTCACTTCATTGTTAAATACTGATGGGCTTGTAAAAAGCATTCCGTTAACGATCCTACTTAGATCACGAAGGTTAAATATGTAATGAAACTTATTAGGAGTCGGTGGCAGTTCCGCCAAAGTTATCTGAAATGTAGTAGTTCATAGTAGTATTTATTCAATAGTAATTTGTATGTATTTGTATTTAATTCTAAATGTATGTTTTTTAATTAACCTTATATAACTTTAATGTCATTTCTAATATACTGGGTACTAAAATTTTAACTTCTTCGTTAAAATGTTTTGTGTGTCCCGAGAGTATGGAACGGAATATATGATCTATAGTATTGTCTGAAGGAAATACCATGCAATAAACAGAGAACATTGAAATAAATCTTTGATCTACTTCGTTTCTACCACCACCAGGCTTACCCATTGCTGCATATAAATCTGTAGCATTAAAAATATTTTATAGAAAAATTATATTGAATTTAATAAAAACAAATTGAACAAAATTAACTCACAAACATCAACAAAAGACTTCCAATCAAATTCTTTGCCACGATCGTACATTCCTCCAAACTCTAAAAAGAGTTTTAAGAACGCTATTGGCTGCTGGGTGCCATATGTATCCACTTGAGGCATGTTCATATCGTCAATAAAGCAAACGAGCTTTTTGCCAATCGATGGACCATATATATTTTTGTTTCGCTTAAAAACATTTGCTTCCAAACTTGTTTGTATGTCTAAAGATGATGTTCTGGACGAAAAATTCAAACTTGTTTGAGCCTATGAATAAAATATGCATACCACATGAATAAAAATATAAAATCCAATCAAATTAATCAGTACGTATTGATAAGAGTCTAATGATCTTAAAAAATTTTGCATTGTAGCTGTTTTTGATGTTCCTGTTTCTCCGATTAAAATCACTGGACGTTTCACGATGGTCATAAGATTAAGTAACCACGTGACTCGAGTTGAATCAACAGTGGGCACTAGTAATTCATTAAATTTTATACTAGAGTTATGTTCATATTTATCTACAAGAGTGTTCCACGGTATCCAAATTTGATTTTCAACATCTAAATAATATTCATACCATGTTTCTTTTTGAGATGGAATGAACTCTGTATAATGAAATTAAGATGATACATATATTATGCAAGTTATGGTTTGTTCAAGAAATAGTATTAATTAATATAAGCCATTAGTTAAAACTTTAGTTAGTTATAAAGTAATAGCATACTGTATTTATACTAATATTTTTTTTCAAAATTTTTTTTTTTTGTTTTAAAAAATAATATATTTTAATATATTTAACAATGAACATTTTATTATTAAAAATAATTGTACTTATTATACCCATAATAAATATTAAAATAATATATGAATTTATTATTTTACTCGTTTAGTTAATTTATCGTATCTAAATTTTAATTACTAGGGAAAATATTCAAACAAAAGTATTTTTTTAATATTTTTCTGATTAATAGAAAAAATGTAATTTTAATACTCTTGTTTTCTGAACTAGTTTCATCCAACTATTTATTTATTTATTTTTATTTTTGATAAGATTGAGCATTAATGAGATGAGAATTAAAATTAAGTTAATAAGTTGAATTAATATAAACTGAATTAATTATTCGATACTTTATTTTTGGAACCAACTTTTAATTTAATAAGTTACTTTTTTAATGTGTTGAATTCAAATTAATTTCAAACAGAAGTAAAAAAAAATTAAGTTTAACTTTTATTTAAACAAATTTTCTATGTAATTTTTTTTATCTGAGACATATCATTATAATAGTTACATTATATTAGTTTGTATAAATAATAGTTGATAACATGAGAAGAATAACGAGAAGAATTTGGGGATTTACTTGAGGTTTTGTATGTATTTAATGAAAATTGTTCTATTATTGTTCAAAAAAATAATCAATGGAAGTAAATAAATAGATTTACTATGAAATTATATTTCAACATAAAATAGGTAAATCATAAATATAATTATATTAATTATAGAATACCACTAATATTTATAAAAATACTCCAGTTAAATGTTTGAAATTAAGTTTTTAATGGTTAAAATTTTACAGGTAATTTCAACTCTAGCTACTCATTCGATGAGTGGTAGAAAAGTTTATCAAATACTCAATGATTTGTTTTCTGAATTTGGGAATAGCTCCGAGTTTAAAAAATATCCCAATTGATATAATTTGTAGAAATTATATTTTTATTAGAGATGAGAAAGTGCAAAAATTATTTATTTATTTTTTTTGATTTAATATATAATAATAAATTTAATAAATTTAATTAAAATTAATTTTTTTATCTATTAGTTTTTAATTTAACAAAGTTAAAAAAATATATTAGTTAACTTTAAACTTAACTTACTTTTCTTAGATTAACTTAAAGCATCAAATAATTTTTAGTAAAAATTAATTTTATTTAATTAAATAAATTAAATTTTTAATAAAATACATTCATAATATACATTTAAATTTAAATAGATATTTTAAGTGATAAATCCCACCAAGAGTTTATTTTTGATTTGTTTATTTTAAATTTTTGATTTCATAATTTGATAAGAATATAAATAATAAATATGTATATTTTATTGTTCTATAATGATATTCTAAGCAATAGCTTCACAGTTCTATTTTAAGTACAAACTAACTATGGTTTTGGGAAAATAAAACTATAATTCATTAAGACTTACTTAACGTAGCTCTTTTAGCTGGAGTATCATTGACCTTAAGAAATCCCGTTATGTTTTTGACGAAGTCGTCAAACACTAGTCGAGAATCGTCCTCCAATGGTGCACCCAACGAACAATATAGCGCTAAAATGAAATTCGCTTCCATCTCGTCGGTTGGTTGTGCGCTTATCACAGATGTTACCTCGAGATTTTCATTCGATGAAATATAAGAAGAGCTTTCATCTTCGGCTGGTAATTTTAATATTGCATCCAACATAAAACACAGTTGCGTAACCTGAATACGAACATAATCTTGTGTACTTAAATAATTACCAAACGGACTCTTAGTGACGTTATAGTTCATACCATATTTAATTTAGTTTGATATATGATCAACTTTAACGGGGCGAATTTTTCGAATCCATAATAACCGTCGAATATACGATCCAAAATAACAGGTACATATTTTTTGAACAACTGGTTTAAACATTTTTTTTCCGTACCTTTTCTTCTTGACAAAAATTTATCCCAGTAAGGAGTGTACCCAAGGTTCTTAGGATCTACGTACACCATACCAGCTCTAGAGACTGTAGCGGGTGAAGCATATTTTAAATCGCCGACCTAAAGACAGTTCATAGCTATTGTATTCAATGTCCAATGTTGTTGTGCTATACCAAAATATTAACTTCAAATAACAACGCGCATTGCGGTAGCAGCCTTATGCGTTCACCATTAGCTAATGTCAACAATTTATTGTCATCCATAACTGAATTCATGTTTTCGATCCATAGAGCATCTATATCACCATCAAATAATATGTATCTTCTTTCGGGCTGATTTTCTGGTATAGGTTTGTTTATCTCACGAAAAATATTTGACAAAAGTCCATCCGTCCAATCTCTAGTGACGAGATCAAAAAAACCATATAACTCGACTACGGTACATGCCTGTAACGGTTTAAATTTTTAAATATACCTTGAATTGGATTGCTCTAATAATATAATATACTTTTGGATTTAAAATATGAACAGTCGTAGGTAACCCAAGTGAAGTCTGTGCACCAATTAAAGTATTTATAACTACCGTTTTTCCACCTCCAGTGGGACCTACAACCATAGTTGAATGCCTTGTCATCATGGTTTCATATAATTGTGTAACTTTATCTATCTAGAAAAATCAATTTTTTAGTAAACGGAACATTTCACATTCATTAGTCGTCAAATATGCATTTTTTGTACTTTGAAATTGATTATTGTTCAATAATTATGTATATTATGAATTTAAAAAGTTTATAAAATCACATTTGTTTTTAATATCACTTTTCTTATGTTATATTATGTTATGCATGAGAACTGTAATTTTTTAAAGATTTTAAATAACATATACAACAATATATACACTATATTTTTAATTTTTTACTACATATAATAAGCAGGTATTTAAGTTAATAGATTTGGAGGAAATCAAATATAATGGAAAATGTCTATATCATTAATTACCACGATTTGGTTATCTTAATATATTTTAAATTATTACCATCGTTTTTATCATATTACAATATAATGTAATAAATAATAAAAAAAATTAATATTGATCAACTTATGTTCAAACTATATCAAACGGAGATAATATCAAGTGTTGAATGGAGAGAAACTTGACGAATGTTTATGTTTAATAATTATAATCATTCGTTATCAATACTTGTATTAAAATATTGTTATTTCATGTAATTGATATTAAAAATATCGAGCTGAGATACAAGATATGTCTTTAAATATGAGTTGTAATATTTTTATTTATTTTTTTATATTGTATATTTTTTAGGTAGGTACTTGTTTTTCACAAGTATTTTTTTTCTATATAATATAAAACTTTATTTGAAATATGATTATTGAATAACCTGATTATCCAAAACAGTATATGATTTTTTTCGCATTTCATCCATGATAGCTTCACTGAATTTAGGATACGTAACTCTTTGACATTTTAATCCAGGAAATAAATCCGAAATAAGTCCCAAAAATAAGGGTACATCATCATAAACAAATTTAGGTAAGTTCATGTCTCTAAAATAAAATGTTAATTAATTAATTGACTTAAGTCTTGAATAAATAATTTTAGTTATTTTTATAATTTTACTAGAACTTCTAACACTGAAATACAGTGCATTATATATAGCCATAGAAGTAATATGTGTTTATTGTTATTTAGAAGAACAAAATTTATGTATAAAAATATACATTTACTGAGTGAATATTTTAAAAGTTATTATTTATTATTTCGTATTATTTAACCAAAAATAGTTTTTCAATTTTATAAAAAATTTATATTATAAATTATATCCAAAGTTTTAATAGTAAATATATGAAATCAAAATAAATAATTTAATAAAAATCTGATGGTTATAAAATAAAAAATACCATTGATATACTATATTGATGAATATATTAATCTAACCCATATGGACTTAGATTAAATAATTAAAATGTATTTAATAACATAAATATATAATAATTTATTTGTACCATTTGAAAATATAACTGATTTAAATGTTCGCCATTTTATGGTCACTAACTAATAAAGAATTAATATGAAACAAGACTATTTCAAATAATTTAATAAATTTGACATGTTCTTATTTTTAACATTTTAAATAGAAATTTTGTAATACATTTTATGAATTAATTAACTCACCTCAGCGCTCTCATTAATACTATATTTTCATCGATTTCCGGCGAATTTCGTTTTAATTCTCCAGCAATAACGAGCACAGATTTCAATGCTCTTAATCCAAAATCATAATGTGCTTGCTTTGATAATTGTTCTTTAGCTAATTTATATAAAACTGACATTTTTTTGGCTAATACTTTAGCATTTAAAAATCCTTCCGAAAATAACATGATTAAACAAATCAGCTCTAAATCAGGTAGTACGCAGATAACTGGTCTGAAAAATGTTTTCACTGTTTCCGGTAATTCGGTACGTCCGGCATAACCAGGATTCATTGTTATGAACACACCCACCTTATGGTCAAGTTTGATATCTCTATCTCGAAACTATACACAATATAAGTGGAGCATTAAATATTTAAATAGAAGTTTAATATCACTATATATCATTGTTGTTCATACCATAAATATTTTGTTGTTTCCGAGCAATGCATTTCTAATTGTACCCAATTGAGTCGATATGACAGAAAGAACAGAAACATCGATACGGTTGAACTCGTCAAAACAACCCCAAGCTCCACATTGGCATAATCCTTCTAATATAATGCCAAATGCTTGATAATCCATTCCTTCTCCACAATTGGTCACCATACACAGTATTCCTAAGGCTTTTGCCAAGTCCTTGACTGTTTCAGTTTTACCAGTGCCGGCAGGTCCTTTGAACGATTAAAATATTATTCGTGTGGTTTAATTATTAATAATAGGATATGTTTCAATTTACCAGCTGGTGCACAACCTAGTTGCATTGAAAGTGCTAGAGTTATTGTCAAGTAGATCTTATCTGTTAACGGAGTTATAACCAAACGACCGTTCAGTCCCATGTATTCGTATCCGTACGCAAATGTACCGGAACATTGGATGACGATTAAGTTGTCAACTTCTTTTTTCCAATAAAATCTCAACTGACTTTCCCATTCAAAGTTATGGCTTTTTACAATACCGTCTCGAACGAAATTTTCAATTACATCTCTGGCGTGAACATCGACAATGAGTACGGTGTTAAATTTTTTTCGGTCGTTTGCTGTTAAATCCCCTCTCACTTGTATTACCAATTCATTCAACTGATTATTCAATGTTTCTAAATAATCTTTCATAGCATAATTATCTCCCTAAAAAAAATAAACTATATTATTCATGAAATATTCACACGCAGAGTATTATATTGTACTTTGGCAAGTTCCGAAAATACGTTTTCGACCTCTGCAGTCCACCATACTCCGTTTGCAGCCAAACACATCTGTCCTTGATGGTCTAACATCCATTTGCATCTAGATTTTCTGGTATTACCATAATCGAAAATAGATTTTTTTACTAAATATGCATTTGATGTCCACATTTCTAGTAACACATTTTTCATCCAACTTTCGACTAAACCTTTCACCATCACTTTATTCGTAAATGTCATAGTTTCTTTTTCACATGAAACCATGGCTTTTACTAGTGTATTTTTCTGAGAATCATAATCGAACAACAAACTTCCCACATTGTCAAACATTTTTACAATATGTTCCTGAATTCCATTAGGATTTGTATTGCCCAAAACTGATAATAACTCATTATCAGATAAAAAGTAAAACCTCGAAAAATAGTTTCGTTTATAGTCTAAGTATTGATTTAGTGATTTTTGACATAATTCAAATCCTTCAAATAATTCATTTAAATCGTTTAATAATCCCGGAATTTGACATAGTCTCATTATTTCTGGATTTATTTGGGTATTTTCCATTAGCTTTTTGAATGGTTGATTCAGCATATCAAATTGCAATGCTTCAGCAGGTAATTGAAGACGAAATTTATCATTGAGAAATATTTCTTCTAAATACATCCATTTTAATTGCACTTGGTTCCATGCATTTAGGATACTACCAACTAACGTTAAGTCTTTATCCAATTTTAACACAATAGTTTGAAATGGACCAATAAATCTACGGATAACAAATACTTAAGTATCAAAAATAATCTTGTCTTATAACATAATATTCTCCGTACTGTGAACCGGCTATGCCTTGGAGAGTCATTAAATTGTCTTCAAGTAATTGAAATATTTCGGTCAAATCTCCCAAAATTAATCCTCGATTTTCGTTATTTTTTATATATGGAATAACATTAATAATCTTTTTATCCCAGCCCTAATTGGATAAATAACTTAGTTAGGTAAATAAAGAAAACAAATATTTATTTTATTGCCCGTTTTTAATATTTATGTGTTTATTTAAATTCAGATTATTGAATATAATTTAAAATTATACAGCTTAAATTACATTCACTTTATAAATAAAATATTCTATAAATAATTCTGTAATTAATTAAATATTAAACACAGCTATTGATTAATTTTTATTTTTAAACTTATAAAAAAGTACATTTTGAAAGTACTTAGCTTTAAATTTTTTTTTTTTTGTTAATTCAAAAAGTGTTGGTATATTTTAATAGACTAATTTATTATTACTTTTAACTTTTAAATAATAATTGACAAACTGTTATAATAATACTTAGATTTTTATTGATATTTCACAATATTTTAATAATTATTTAATTATTTTTATATAGTTACTTTTTTCACATCATCAATGGATCGTTTAATACTCAATTCTTTAACCGAATTTCCAACAATTTCCATGCATACGTCTTTATAATTGCCCAAGTTCATACTAAAAATGTTTTCTAATGTAAACATTTCAGGACTTATGTCGAAATGTTGACCTTTTAAAAGTTATATTTTATAATATTAGAAAGTTAAATTGTTTGATTTTTTCTGATTGGAAACTTACCAGTTTGGTCCATAAGTTTCTGCCAATGCATTTCGCTCATCGCTTCGTTTTTTAACTCAGTAAATAGTGATATGGAATTTTTAAAAGTCTTCATATCATTTTCTAATGCCAATCCAGCTTTTAGTGAACGACACTGTTTTGGAAAACGTTTGAACTCTTTTAGGAAACTATCCATGCCTTCCAACAGTAGCTGCGGATTTAATTCCGACCAAAGCGTTTCAGCCCAAACATTTCTTGCGTCAGTTTGACGTGAATACAAATCAAACAATAAACGAAAGCATTTAAACTCTTGATATACGTTATCCAAACGTATGAAAGGGTCTTGAGACATTTCTAGTAATACCGACGTTGCCATCATCGAATCTTTTTTGGCAAACAATTCTTTGAATTTGTGTTCGTATTCCTTATTAATTTATAGTTTATATTATATTTTTATGTGCTTAAATTAAAATATCAACTAGTGTAGGTAGGTGTAATGAGTTATAATTGTGCTTTCCCACGGTGCGAGGTTTGGCAAACCCGATGCATATTAGTTGCTTCCCAAATTATACGTATTGCCTCCCATTATTATTGTAAACAAAAAGGTTAATTTACGGGCCGTACGTAAAGTGCGACAAAATTACACCTTTTTTAAAAGTCTATATGTAAACCAGTGCCGTTCCTAGGTTCTGCGAGGCCCTACAATATTATATTGAAATCCATAGGTATACCAGAATAGTGGTCCTCAATCCATGTATCTATAATCTATTTATATATGGTATGTTGTATATATATATATATATATATATATATATATATATATATACAGTGGTTGCCGCTTATAGTGATCAAAAATGCCAGGAACGGAACAAACAGCCGTTGTAAGTGCATTTTTTCGCCGCTTACAGTGTTCAGGTTTTCGGTTATTGTGATCAGAAATAATCATCAGAAATATGAAGTATAAGTATAATTTACAATAATATCACCTCTTTTTGTATATAGAGTAAACAATTACGAATGACAATTATCTTAATCGTGAATTTTAATCGAGCTAATCTTATCTAATGTAACCCACGTAATAAACGACACTTCATATCGTACATTCGTATATGTTTGAAACCGTTTTTGTTCTCAAGAGCACTGATATTTTTACACTTTCCAGTTTGATTTCGTCTGTCGTTCAGTGTACTGTTTGTCTAGTATGTAGTTGTATACTGTATTATGGCTAGTAGGAGCACGCTTTCAATTAGTGAAAAAAAATATATTATCGAATCGCCGCTTATAGTGATTTCCGGTTATAATGATCACTGTTCTCTCGAACGAATGTGATCACTATATGCGGCGACCACTGTATATATATTATATAAATGCGAGGCCCTTGGAGGCACGAGACCCTGGGTGACTGTCCCGTTTGCCCTGCCCTCGGGATGGCACTGATGTAAACTGCGTCAAACGATAAGATACACTATACAAATTGTGACAATTTATTTTATGTATATATATATACCGATACGATAACATATGATAAATAGCACCTTTTATTAATGAACTCTTATGGGTATTATTTAACAATATTGGTACCTAGTACCGGCTACCTACAATTTATGTTTATCTAAACCATAAAATGAGTTAAAAGATTTATGTAAAATCAAACAATTAGATGTAGTATATAAAATACATACAATAAAAATATGTTTTAACTGGTGAGGGGGGAGGGGTGTCTAGGTTTTGGTAATAATAAATATATTATATTGCCCCCCTAGATTTTTTCTTAGTTACGCCACTAATTATATACCTATGTGATATTATGTACATTTATAATTTAATTAATATGTTATGTCGGAGAAAAATTTGTAAGAAAAATCCAATTTAATTTTTAATTTTTAACGCAATACACTAAATATCGGCTCCTTCACAAGTACAAGATTATCACAAGCTAGGTTATAGGTTATTACGTGGCGTGTCGTGTAATATTGTATTTTTTTTAACATGTTTCGCACTTTATTTTGATCTTAAAATCTAGTTAAAAAATGTAAAATAGCTTAATAATTTGTAAAAATAAAATCGTACAATGTGAACGAGTCTTGAAAATCAACTTAACTAAACTCAATAATTTAAGATAACGTAAATTATTTTTTATAGTCTGGCTCAGGTCTGGTTTGAATTATATCTTATCATAACATGAAAGTGTACATTATCTTAATGTTTATTCGTATAAATATAATCGTGTCAAATATCAAATCTAAAAAAAGTCATAAATTACAACTTTTGCAAACTTATTTTGATACATAAAGTTTGAAAATGTTTGGAACTACTTAAACACTTATTACCTGCCCATTGGAAGGCAACTAGTATTAGACTCTTTTCGTTAACGATAAAATATAGGGTACATTGGGAGGCAACTTGCTTATAGTCTGGTGGTTATTTTAAAAATGATTGACCTTTTTGACTTCGGGAGGCAATTAGTATGCACCCGACGAACCAAGAACCTGATAATGAATCTGGTATACTTTATGTACAATAGAAACAATCTTGCTCCACTATGTGTGGTACAGCTCGTCGTTGCTCGCCGAACCCCGCGCCATATTAACGCTTTAACCACCGTAACGTTTCCTATCAGTGGCGTATTCAGACTTGAATGTAACGGATGACACGAATTATTACTTTAACCAGTTAACACAATTTGTTAGGTGTTTCACAAGATTCCACAGATATCGATGGTATTTAGATATTTAATTAATTTAAGTAGGTATACAATTTTATTTCCGAAAAAGTTTTACATCATTTTTTTAGTAATTGCCACGATTTTCAAAATTAGTTTTTTTAAATTTTTTATCATCCTTTGATACCATTTTTAACAATAAATAATAATAATAATAATTGTTGAAATTATTATTATTATTTAAGCTCCAAGTATAAGATTACATATTGAACATAACTGGTTTGACGATAGCATTTTAAATATGAAATAATTAATTTTATCAATAGATTAATATTAACTATTAAGAGTACGTAGAAAAAAGTTATAAAAATAAAAAGAATATCTATTGTTTTCTTTTAATAATTAAATATATACATTTTGTAGTGAACACATAAACGGTTCTACACCTTTCAGCTCACCTCTATCATCTGAAGACCTAAACTTAAATCTTCATCAATAGATGCCGGACCACTTTCATAAAAATCATTTATAAAATGTTTGATTTGTATCCCATACGCGTCCACGTCATTTTGAACTATAAATACAAAGTTATAGACTTTAGTGTAATTAGTATATTACGTACAACAAAACAGGACGTTGGAATAATAATATGAATTGATAAGTCCACTTTACATTTTATTAAATACTATTCCATAATCTCACCATATCAAAATAAAATACATCATTTATTTTTTTGGAAACAAAATTTTTATGAATAAAATACATATCTAACCTGTTTGGAGAGCTGATAGTACGGTCTCCGTGTAGATGGGACCTGCAACTATAATAACAAGTGTGTAAATATAAAACAAAATTTACTTCATAATGTTATTATGTTATGGTATTATCTATGTAAAGATCAAATATTTTCTGTTTTCTACATGCAACAGACAGCAAAGACGATTATTTCCTTCGTGTTAGCTTTTAATACTTAAAACAATTCGATTTATTTAATTTGCTCATGGTAGTTTTTCGCATTGACGGTTTGTGCGTTGATGCGCAGGTGCAAGCGCGCCACATGGCATTATATCAAAATAATATTGATTTTATTTTTTTTTAGAACCTAATCGTAATAAATGGTTCATTAAAAATATCGGTGCGTTATTGAAAAAAAAAGCAACTATTCAAAAATATTTTTCGGTAATTAACTATTACGTTGTAAACGGATTATTGCTAATAAAGTAAAAAAACAGTTATGCAATATGTGTATACCAATCGGTGCACAACATTGTGACAACAGTGCTAACCTGTATAAATTGTATAAATGGTTGTCTAGTAGAGGAATCTCGAAATACAAACGAAACTCGGTGTGAAACCGATTTTGATATCTAAATCTAAAATATTATCTACGTTTAACTTTGAGAATTTTTGTGTTTTGATTTTTTTATCGAAAAGTCGATATTATTTCAATATATATATATGCCAACATATGTATCATATTTTACCGCTCATAGCGAATCCTTTCCTCTTGAGCCGGGTTCTCACTTTCGTGTAGTTGTAAAGTATATAATATATACGAACACTTGATAAATTGTCTATTTAGTAGAATAACCATGGCAACTATTTTCATGACTCGTGTAACTTACGAGTACATACAAATGAAACGAATCGATCCATTGAATATACATTTCAGTAATATAATTTCATTTGACTCGTGTCAATTTTACCGACAATCCGCAGTGAGTTGGCGAATAACGAATAGTAAATACTGAATACCGAATATTCGTATAGGTAAAAGTAATCCGTTCTCACGACATGGCAAGTATCCCTGAATACTATTCGTCCAATAGCGAATATTTGTCGAATATACGAATGGTGGGAACCCGGTTTTAGAATCAACAAAAAAGAATAATTTTTTCTTTGAAAATGAATTCTGTAGAACATTTTTTGAAAAAAATAAATTTAACTTTATACAAGTGAAGAAAAAATAATAATTAAAACATTGAGAAGACCTGTGTCGAGTTTAAAAATAATAAAAGTTACACAACAAAAATCGCGATATTATACTCATAGTTTTACCAATGACTATTGTTCTACATATTTGGCTTCACGGATGTGATATTAGAAATGTTGTTTTTTGTTTTGCGTGTCTTTTATTTGGCGGAGAAAATGATAAAATATGTGAAGGTACTTTTATGCAAAATTATAATAACTAACCAAATAAATAATGAGCGTGAACTTAAACGAGGAATCAAAGAATTTTGTGACGTTATTATATAAATAATGATTTGACTTTACTGATCATATCATAGCATTAAATTAATTTTTAGTTGAACATTTCGAAAAATATTTCTAACATTTCCTCAAAAAATATTTTAATCAAACAAATATTTATCCATATTTCGATAACAAAAACTGAAAACTGAGCTACAAATTATTTATAGAAAACCTAAAATTTAAAATATACCGTTTCCGAATTAACATTTTCAAAAACTAATTAACTAAATATTTAAATTTAAATTATGATTAAGTTATTTATAATAGCCATTTCTGTAAATGATTTACATATTATTATATTAATTATAAATACTAAATATATGTTACATCATAGTCAATACCTGTTATTGTTATTTTATGTACCACCCCTTTTAGCCGCCACTAAGTTTTTGTTCAGAATAATTTAACATTGGTTTCAAATTCAAATATATATCCCTTTTGACCAATTCTATTTTATATATTACATTCTTCTTGTATAAACACGGGTTGCCAGATTTTGAAATAACAAAACTGGGACATCATATTGAATATTTTTTTCCTTGATATAGCGCTTATATAAAGTGCTCGAAGTGGGAAAAATTAAGTAGAGGAGCTCAGTCAAACGATTTGAAAACTGCGTTCTATGAGTGCAATTATTTAACACATATCCATGGGGGCTTTGTCCCTCACCCCCCCTCCCCTCTGCTAACCTTACATATATTTTGAATACCACGTGGCCCCGTAGAAAAAATGTTGCCCCGAGGCGCTGTAATGTTTGACACGGCTCTGGTAATAATGCAATTTAAAAAAAAAATAGTGCGATATTAGAAACTGACGGTTTTCACACAAAATATATCCATATCGGTTCAACTTTACACCTTTACAACTTTTATAGATAAACGACAGGTATATGAGCTTTGTCGATGAAGTTGGGCTATCATTATATTATTACTTAATTTGATGTTTATTCTTATCTTATACAAAATAGTGTGGTTTCGGTTTTAATGGAAAATTATTTTATCTGATGTCATATGACATATATATTATAATATTATTTAATTATAATGTATAAATGTATGTATAATTAATCTTTTAAATTTTAAGCTGAATAAACTGAAGACTTATTGGAACCTAATCTTAAATTTTAAACGATTCAAAATTGAGTTGTGATCTACCGGTTAAAGACTACTAATTTAAATAACCATAATATAATGATATAGTGTACAATATTATTAAATAATACAATACTGAAAGTTATTTTCTCTCAACTTCTATTAGTCGGGACACGCCTTTAAGCCCGGGACAGATGGAAAGACTATTTATATATGTTATTAGTTAATAAATTCTTATAACCACAGTTTATATTGATGTAATAATTACAATGTGACATTAAACATTAGACGGTTTGAATATTATAACACTGGTTTAAAAAATATTATTTAGTCTTCAACAGGATTTTATATAATGGATAATAGAATACACAATGGATACCGACGTAACTAATGAAAGTACTCAATATTTTGAGCAATTATGAAAGAATTAGAAAGATTAATTATATCTTTAATGATTTATAATATACTGGGCTTAGTAGTAAAATCAGTTTTAGTGGTTTTGAAGTAAATTTAGATGCTTTTTTTTTTACTTACAATTTTCCATTTTCTTATAGCCTTGATAAATTAGTATACTATATCCAAACAAAATATACATTTATTATAATGGTGTTCATATCTGTAAGGTTAAAAATAAAATAAACAAACAAGAACATTATGTTTAGAATTTATTGTAGCCAATAATATTCATTGAAAAAAATATAATATTTTGTGTTAATTCTAAGCAATAGCCAAAAATTATTTTATTAAAAAGTGATCTTTTAAAAATAATTCTTATTAAAACATACATAATACAAAATAACCATTTATAAATATTTTAAAGATGTTGTTCAAAGTAAATTCCACTATAGACACTTCCGATGTACAAATAAACATATGTCTTTATCATTGATTATAATGATTTTATATTAAAAAAGTATCCTTTGTCAAAGCTTTTAAATTAAAGAGATCAAAAGGAATTTAAAGTTATACATTATAAAAGCCAATTAAAAGATCATTTTTTTGGTTTTGATACATATATTTTTATTTTTTTTAATCTAATTCAGTTAATATAAAAACACATAAAACTCATAAGTAGGTAAAAATGAACATTAATAAATAAGTTACAATAATTATTTGATTAACTAAAGTATTGACTAGACACCAATTTCACATATTTTGTTCAAACCTACATAATGTCTTAAGTTATAGAGCAAGGCTTAAGAAATTGTATTCTAAGTAGGATTTTATCACATTTTAATGATACATAAATAACAGTTATTAGAAAATGTACATTTAAAATTTCCTTAGATCCATACAAATTGTTCTCATGTATCTAATATGGAATAATAACAAGTAAAAAATATATGATTTGACTTTATAATAATAATACAAAAATGTACTTTTTGAAAAAAAAAATATGTATTATATTAGGTATAACTCTGTTCATTTTAATAAACTAATTAATATACTAATTAATATCAACTATAAAATATCATTGGATGACATCAAAATAAGTAAAAAATTCTTCAAAAATATGTATGTACCTAACCTAAAGTCTCTAAAAATTGTACCATAGAGTATATTGGGCTAAGGAGTATAAGTATCACACAAATCAAAAAAAAAAAAAAAGGACATAATTATAAAAAAATTAATGAAATCAATTTTATAAAATATTATATTTTATATTCACTAATAAACAATAAATATTATTTCAAAAGATAATTTGTGAATATAAACTAAACACTTCTCATATATTTTAAATAAATTTAATAAAAGATAAGTCAACAAAATATAAATTTAAAATCTAATATTAATAATTATATAAATATATATTATATTAAAATAATATAATTAGTATTAATAAAGTAGTACAATACAGATTTGTAAATTATTGTACTTTATAACAATTTGTAATACTAGACAAAAAAAAATATTTAATATCAAATAAAAATAGCTTTATTAATCAATTAAAATCAGTTACACTGATTTTTAATTATTAGCTTTAACAACTTACATTCAGCTTTTTTAATGACAGCCATATACCATTTTTGGCCTTAAGCATCATAGAATTTTTGCTATACTCAAATGGTACCGTTGATTGGCTGCTCAGCTCAATTGAGTAGTCTTTTAGTATCTGCACTATACCTCTTTTTGTACTCATCTGGGCAAATCTTAAGCCTAATAAAATACAAATAAAAATTATAAATATTAAAATTGTATTAAAGTATATTTATTTGGTAATCATACCAATGCAATTTCTTGGGCCTGTACCAAATGGTAAATGAACATAATGCGAACGTTTAGCTTTTTCTTCCGAAGAAAACCTATATGGATCAAATTTGTATGGATCAGGATAATACTCTGGATCATAATGCAACCCAATAACAGGTATTTGTATAGACGTTCCTTTTTTCAGTAATACATTAGAATCAGGTAAAGTATAATCTTGGGTGCATATTCGTTGCAATTGTGCTACAGGTGGATGCATTCTCAAGGTTTCTGCAACAGTAAAATGTACAAAAAAATAGTTTAATTTTAATTTAATTTATTTGTTTTATACACAGGTATATAAATACTTTTTTGAACTGTAATTTTGTCAAAATTATTATTACAATACATACCCATCAACACCATGTCTAACAGTGGCATTTCTTGCAAAGCCTCATATGTGCATTTCCCATTGTGTCGTTCCAATACTGAATATATTTCTTCTCTTAGTAATACCTGTATATTCTGATTGATTACCAACTCATAACTAATAAAAGCCAATAGTGTACTGGATGTCTCAAACCCAGCAATCAAAAATAGTATAGATTGTGCAATCACTTGAGCTTCGGTTAAAGTAGCTGAAATTATAATTTTTTTTAATTTATAAAGCAATTTTAATTTTTAGGTAATTTTAAAATATAACACTCAGTAACAAAGTATTTTATACTTTACTGTAAGATACATTAAAAAATGTAAAATAATTTACCTTCTTTCTGCCTGTTTTCATCATTTTTATCAATATCAATTTCACTATCCAGTAACAATTGTAAGAAATCATTTCGTCTATAGTAAAATAAAATAAAATAAGTTCAAGAATTAAAAACTTAGAATAAAACTAATTAAATTTTAAACTAGTATGGTTGATTATTATATTTAAAAAAAATTTAAATTTATTATTTACTTTAATTGGGATTCTAACTAAAATTATTGTTTTAAAAATATGAAATTTGAGCACACATATTTAGTTTGTTATATTTCATAAAAATAATATAATATACTTGAACTTACTATATTAAAAATATGTTAAAATTATTATAAACTAACATTTTTAATTGTTGTTACAAATTTTTACAAATATAATTCAAAATGATTGAAGTTTAGTATTTTAAGTTTAACAAACTATAGTTATATAACTATATAAGTATACAAACTTTTGTCCAGTAGATTTTCTGTACTTCTTTGCCTCTTTAATGACATTGGCTAAAAAATCTATTACTTCCATATTAAAAAAAGACAACGGTATGTATCGAGCAATGCCTGACATAAATAGAAGTACTATATAGAGTGATAGACGTTTAAAAATGCTTAAACTAGCAAATTTTGAAACACGACTAGCAAAACCACCATCAACATCCTTTAGTGAATTTGATTCCATTCCAAATGCACAAGTTGCAATAACATCTAAGGTGAACTTGCCAAAAAACTCTTTCATTTCCAGTTCATATGGTTGAGAACCATCTTCTGAAAAATAAATATACAAATAAATGCCTAGATTATTATAAAATTTCTAAAGAACAACCAATTTCAAATTATTATTATTATTCAATTTAAATTTTTAATTCATCATTATGTATATACTAAGTCAATAAAATCGAGATTCAATATAAAAAAATAATTGTTTCAACATTTTAAAGTTATTCTATATAAAATATTAGTAGGGAAGTATATATACTTATATGTATTGCAAAATTACATAATATTCACAGTCAAGTTTTAAATATTATAACCAAACATAAAATATGACATAAATAATTTTATAATAACAATATTTTAATTATTATAATTAATATAGTTGTGCTATTTCTTTACATCAAGTAGACAATTTTAAAATAAAACAACAAATAGGAAGACTTTGATATATACCTAGTTTATATATGTATTACAGTTTTTTTAATTTTGATTTATTTATATAAACATAAGAACATGTTATAAAAATATCATTTTTGTTTTTTTTTAATCTTTGATTTAGAAATAGTATATCTCATACATATTATCGATAATATTGTATAATTTCATTAAAAAAATATAGAATCCATAGAACAAATGTGCAAAATAAAAATTTGCTTACGTAATACTTTAGCTGAATTGTTTTCATAATTACTTTGGTATTAGTTAACTAATTGTATGTTGACTTATACTTAAGTATAGATTATATGCGATTTCTAATATGAAACATCAAACCAAATGCTAAGCTAATTGGCTTCAAACATTTATAAAATGTTTGAATATTAATAAAAATAACTATATAATTACCACTTTTAATATTTTCATTTAAAAATTCACTCATATTATTACAACAGACATCTATAAGATGTTCCATTGTTTTAAGTTTTCCTGATGTAAATGCTGGGGTTAACTGACTTCTCATTCCTTTCCATCTGGAACCTTTAAGATTCAACAACATTTCAGTTATGTACTCAGATGTTCGAAAATTCATATTCTGGCGGTCCGTAAAATAATTGAAATCTTTAATCAAGATACATTTAATGAGATCTGGATCAAGGACTACCAATGATGCTTGACGACCAAGATAAAATCCTAAAAAACATTTAAATAAAAATTAATTTTCTTGTTTTTGCTCAGGATTGAAAAAAAATAAAATCAAAGTTTTAGGGTAGCATGAATAATTTTTTTACACATTTCTTAATGAAACAAAAAGAAAAAGTAATTAAGCTGAGTACTAACCAGCAAATTTATGTCCTTTAAATTTAAAATACATATCCCTGTGAAACTCATGAAATGATTTTCTGAAAAGAACACGGTCTTTTGAATTTCCAAAAAAAAATTCAGGCTCAATATGAAACACTCCCAATTTTTTCCAGTAGCTATATATATTTTTGTAGTAAAAATATACAGCAATAAGCAGTAAAATAACACCAGAAGTGACATACATGTATATTGAGCCCATTGGAACCATTTTGAATTCTAAAACAAATTTTTCATAAAAACAAGTATTTTAATTGCTGTAAAATAATCAATATTTTATACTGACATAAACAAGGGGGAATCAGTTGATAGAAGTTGATGATCAACAGTAAATTTTAAAGTATTTTAATCAATTTTGTTTATCAACTTAAACATAAATTTACAGCCAAATTCTATGTAATAATATTTTTACAAAATAATATCCTATTGTATTAGTATTTGTTTCAATATTGTCCCACTTTAATAAATTCTAAAAAAAAAAAAAATATATATATATATATATTTACACACTGTAGGAAGGTAGGTTTAATATAGAGAATAAGAGAAAAAACATTGTCTCTTTTGAAATTAATGATTGAATTTATAATTTAGGTAGGTCAGTATGACTAAGAATCAGTGTTTTAACGTTGAAAGTAATTTGAAATTGATAAACAATAAATAAGTAAGTAATAACAATACTCGAAATGAGAAGATGCACTGAGAAATGAACATGTGAAAATGTAGAACGGCCCAAATTAATAGATGTGGTGAGATGATTATGATATCATAGTAGCACACAGTTAGTCGAACAAGTGGCAGAAATAGTAAAGCCCACGGATGAAGACACAACAGTCCGCTGTGGTCACTTACCTGTTAGACAAACCTAGCCACTGTGGACGGACCAGAGATATGTGTGGTATCGTTTTAGATGATCGGGATCACGACGTCCGGAATCGATGCAGTTGCGTCTCCTGGCTGTCGTTGCGTTAGCCGCGCGGGGCACAATAACACCAACAACACCATCGACGACGGCGAATCGCTAGGTCCGCAGACTACTGACTGCGTCGCATAACATTAACTGGTAATGGTAACGTTTAACCACCGCTGTGGTTTTATGCGAAACGAACGACGTCAAACCAATTAGTATTGCGCATGCACAGCGGCGGCAAGACGGACGAGTATAAGTTTTATCTAATTGTTTTGTTCACTTCAGACGACGATCGAGTGCGACGATCATTGCTGCACTATCAGTTCGTCACGGTTTATATTATTTTTAATTGTTGTTATTGTTACGAATTATCATGATGGCGAGGGGGTAATGCGAAAAAAAAAATCGAAATTTATAGTAAGTTAAAACGTATAAGCGCGTGTTATCAAAAGAAATCGTTTTGATAACATTTTGTGGACAAACAAGGTCGGGGTCCATTAAACAGTGAGAGAGTGAGATTGAGTGAGAAACGAAATGATTTGTGTATAGAATGAGTTAGTTAACGTGTGATCATACCGTTACTGTTGTGTGAGAAATGTTTAAATTTAAAAATCCACTACGTACGTGTTCTGTTCTCGTAGATGGGTAAACAACGATAAAAATGTAGCACGCGAAAGAACAGTGTGATGTTTAATGATTCACGATTGTTGTGATTAAGTTGTTATTTATTATCTGACCGAGCAGCAGTGCTGTGCGTAATCAATTAATTTACGATTAAATTACGTAATCGATTACAATAATTATAATATTAATTAATTATTAAATAATATTAGTTATTATTCGTTTAATCATTTTTTAAAGTAATCAGTAATCATGATTACATTTGTGAAATTGTTAGTCATTATCGCAAAAAATATAACTACAATAACTACATAATTAACTACATGATTACCGTCAACACGGGTGAAATAGAACTTGAGCGGTGACTTGAAACAGTATGACTTTTCTTTATTGAATTTGATAGAACTTCGAGAGTTTTGATTATACATTGTTTATCTTTTTATGATATTTTATGTTGTTACATTTCCAATCAGAAACATTTTATCATATTTTTTGATATTTCTTATCGTTAAACAGAAATTAATGTTACAAACTGTCACCATGTAAACACTTTTTTTGTAGACCTAATTTAAGTCATCAAACTCATCTACTGTTCGAGATACAAAAGAGAATGAGTTTAATTTATTTTTTATATAATATTTTGGATACCTATTGACTTCTTTAGGTTATCATATTGTTTTTGGAAAATAAGATTTTAAAGAAATATAACTTAGACTTGGACTTGGACTGTATACTTTTATTTATAATATAGTAATAACTGAGGAGCCGCTCATTGTGCTCGGTACAAACTTCGATAAGCGACTGGTTACATATAATATAAGATAAACAAGATCTCTATCAAAACAGAGTACAATAATACGACTCGAGCACATCTGTACAAAGATGTTTTTAAAAACCCTATTTGTGTTCCAAGTAAAACGTATGGTAGTTTAAATGCTCAAACACATTAAAAATTCCTTACTGTTTCATGTCACCCGAAACTCAAGGTGATTTGGAACATTTATTTTTTATTTATTTTTTTAACCAAGTTATGGTAAAATTTCATTTTTTTTACGCAAATGTAGTAATTTTTACTGCGCGACTATACTAGATTTTTTTCAGATTTAAAAAATTAATGTTGAAGGTGTAGGAATCTGGGAAAGTTCAAAATCGTGTTAATTTCACCTTTGTTGACGGTACAATATTTTATTAGGTAGTATACTATATTAGTGGCGTAGCCAGGAACTTTTTATAGGAGGGGGTTCAGCAAATTTATATATATTTAATCTTACCACTATCATTTTGACTACTATTTGTATTGATCTCGGTATTTTTAAGTCTGACTGATATTAGTTTTTTTGATTCAGGTAAAAAAAAAATAATTAATTATCCTAGTCTGCTTATTTGTTAGAGAATTTGCCTATAATAATAAATAATAATAATAATTTAGGAACTAGAAACTTATATAGGAACATAAATATTAGATATTAGAATATTTTCTGTCCAATTACTTAGGTATACTAAAAATTAAATTTCATCTTATCACTTAATCTTACCAAATATCTTACCATAATGGAATGTTTAGACCTCTTAGAATGATATTAAATTAAAATAAAGCTAATATAATGGAATACAAATGTCAAATATAAATGAATAAATGAGTAGTAAGTAAAATAGTGAGATACCAACGGGCAACGACCAACTATTTACTAATAACCAGGGTTAGGATTTTATAGCACTTACAATTGTATAAATATGCTCTATAATATTACCTTAAAAATCGCTAAATAAGCTCTAAAAATATGCAATAAAAAAAAAAAAAGGAAATGTATTATTTAATAATTTTGTACGAGCACATGAGACGAATGTGGACTATATAAAGCCGCGTCCAGACTAGACGACTAAGGGTACCGAAGACACATGTGACGACCTTATTCGGTGATGTTAGTCTAGGTGTAGACAACGCGATCGAACGAATGACAACGGCGAATGTGCCTTCGGTTGCCTTCGCTCGGGGAGCGGTACATCAAAGGAATTCGTTATCAGTTTAGATACGATTTGTTGATATTTTGGTTTTCGTCAACATTTGGTCCGAACGGATATATAAAATAAATTGTGTGCGTTCGTAGTTTAAACCAGCGAAGGCTTCCAAACGCGGACTAACGATGAATTTGGAATGAGTTTAGACAGTATGCCAATGTTTTCACATCTAAATACAGCCAACGCCGATTATGGAGACGTTGGCGTTCGGTTGTCTTGGTCGTGTAGTCTGGACGCAGCTTAAAACGAATTCTACACTCGGCTAATCGGCTATTAGTAGATATAGTAGAAATCGACAAAAAAAACTCAACAATATCAGCATATAACAAAAATTAAAACCAAATAACTAAAATTAATATTAATTAATATTTTAATATTATGCCTATCTATATATTATTGCTGTAATTGTAAAGCGTTGCATCAGCGTAATTGGTCTATTTACTTCATCTATTTAATCTATACATTTATAATTTAAATGAAAATTTAATTTAATATTTTGAATCTTGAAAATTCGATCAACAAAAATCAACAAACACGTTTACTAAAATACAATTTCATGAAATATGCCTGATTTTTATTAAAACACAAGTAAAATGTAAAAAAGGATCAAAAAAAGTCCAAAAAAGCACTAAAAACTAAGAAATACAAAATATGCAAAAAAAAGCAAAATAAAATTGTTTATTTGAGTTCTCTGTATCATGAAACACATTTTTAGCTTACTCTGCTATTTTTTAAGCATCTCATAAGAAATATGCAAATTCTATAAAACCCCAACCCTGCTAATAACCAGTGTTGGGACTTATCTAGATAAATTATCTAGATAGATTTTTTGTCATCTTTTATCTTATCTAGATAAATAATGCCAAGTTATCTAAATAATTATCTAAGATAAAATTTTTACTTATCGAGATAATTTTATCTAGATAATTTTCTGTATTCTTGCCAAGATTAGAGTTATTTTTATTCTTGTACGGAGACGAATCCAACAAATCAGAGTTCATCAAAATCGGTCCAGTCGTTCTTGAATTATAAATTCTGTAAATAACCTGACTTTCTTTTATACATATAGATTTTGTATTCATAATCATAATTCGTGTATTATTAATAAGTAATTATTATATCTTGGTATGTCATTTTATTTGTATTTTCATGTCGGGAAAATATTTTTAGTAATTTTAAACTTAATTTCTTATTTTCCTATGGAAGTTCCAAATATAGTAGATATTTGATTTTAGTATACACACGTAACTCATACGCTGAATAGTTATTACTTCACTCTTGGAACCCGTAAAGTCGTAACTACTTATAAAATAATGAAAATCATTAAATTAATATTATATGGAAAACAATATTGTTAACTTAAAATATTTTTTTATGTATTCTGTATTCATCCTGATACGTACAGAGCAATTTTCATTTTTTTTTTTTCTGTAAAATTTTAGTGATTAACTGTCATTAAATATTGTACATTATTTATAAATACTGCTTAATGGTATACTACATTACTACAATAAACATTAAACACCTAGGTACCTATTGATAATAATGATTATAATCAGGGACGTATTTAAGAGGTGGGCCCATGGAGCCCGTGCCCCTCTCCCCATTCATCGTATTTTATACTTTATTTATTATTGTAGTCCCTTTTTCACGCAAAGACACACAGTGAAATACTGGAATATCAATATATCAAGATAATATAATACCATCGATTAAACGGATTACCATTGTATACACCCTGAATACACTTTAATATACACCCTGAAATAATTATAAAACCTGAAGTCATGCATATGCTAATAAACACGCCAGACGTCTTCAGTTATTGTAATTACAAAAATTATTTAAAAAATATGTTTTATTATAAATTTGTGTAATAAAAGTTATTGTTTCTATCAAACACTTGTATTTTGATTATTTGGTTAAGAATAACGACAGTTTTGTTGAGATGGAAAAGTTATAACTATGTATAATTTGAACTTTTTGTTTGTACCCCCCCCCTCCCAAATAAGAAATTTATAAATACGCCCCTGATTATAATTGAGTCTTCATAAATATTATTAGAATATGAAATATAGACCAAAAAATAACATTTTTTGAAAATATCTTTTTTTTATCTAGATAAAAATGAAATTATCTTTTATCTTTATTTAGATAAATTTTGCATCATATATTCCCAACACTGGTCTAATGTAATACACTTGTAGATTTTTAATATTAATAATAATAATAATTAACAACGTAGAAACTCATGCTATGAATAATAATTTTATTATCATTAGTCAAACCTTTGTATAATATAAAGTTACTTACTAATTCATTAGTGTTTTTTTTTTTTAATAAAAGTTGTTAATATTGTAGGTATTAAAATTATTTAGTGTCAAAAAATACAAAATTTTTAAAATACAAAAAGACCTGCAAAGGGTCGGGCCGGTCCAACCTGGTCCTCAAAAAACCCGGCCCGTACTGAGACTGGACTGGACCGGGCCTTAAAAAAAAAAATAATGAGGGCTAGATCGGACTTTCGTTTTCGTAAAAATTTGCAGACCTAGCCGGGCTGGGATTTTTTGGTAAAACTTAGGGCCGAGCCGGGCCGGTCTCTCAAAATAATAAAACCATGGATGAATCGAGCTTTTTTTTTTTGTAAAACTTTTCCGGCCGGGTTGGGCTTAAGGATTTTTACATCTGGCCGCGCTTGGACATTTTATAGATTTTTTTTTTGTATAACAAATAATTGTTATTTAAAATAAAAATGATAAATTCTCATTACGACGTAGAATAACCACGAATATTATGTAATTGGTGGAACGTGGGTATTGAGTAATGAGTATAATAAAGTTATTTATATATAATTCATAAATATGTCATTAATAAGTTACAACACTACCAAAATATATGGCATACTATTAGCGGGGTAGAGATACTTGTCTATTAGCGAGATTATTATTTCTATAGTATTATAATACCAAGTATCAATATAAAATAAAAACGGTAGTTAGTATTTAAAGAAAATCCATTGTGTTTGACAATGGAAATTATATATTAATTATATAATATTAATAATA